GGGGGGGAGGGGCAAGATGGGCATGGAGGAGGGCACTTGTGGGGATGAGCACTGGGTGTTATATGGAAACCAATTTGACAATAAACTATTTGTAAAAAAAAAAAAGACTTATTGAAGTCTGATGAAAAAGCTCCTTCAGAGAACTGACAGAGCAACCACTTCTTCAAAAATAAAATTTTTTTAAATAAATAAATAAAAGTTAAGGTGAAATTAAAAAAAAAAAGTGGTCCAGGTTCATTCTTCTGCATATTGCTGTCCAGCTTTCCCAACACCATTTGCTGAAGAGACTTGTCTTCTTCCCATTGGATATTCTTTGCTGCTTTGTCAAAGATTAGTTGGCCATACGTTTGTGGGTCCATTTCTGGGTTTTCTATTCTGTTCCATTAATCCGTATGTCTGTTTTTGTGCCACTACCATACTGCCTGGGAGATTACAGCTTTGTAATACAGCTTGAAGTCTGGAATTATGATGCCTCCAGCTTTGGTTTTCTTTTTTCAACATTACTTTGGCTATTTGAGATCTTTTCTGGTTCCATACAAATTTTATAATTGTTTGTTGTAGTTCTCTGAAGAATACTGGCATTATTTTGATAAGGATTGCATTGAATGTGTAGATTGCTTTGGGTAGTATCGAATTTTAACAATATTTGTTCTTCCATGAGTATGGATATGTTTTTCCATTAATATGTGTCTTCTTCAATTTCTTTCATAAGTTTTCTATAGTTTTCAGCATACAGATCTTTTACCTCTTTGGTTACGTTCATTCCTAAGTACTTTATGGTTTTTGGTGCAATTGTAAATGGCATCGATTCTCTGATTTCTCTTTCTGCTGCTTCATTATCGGTGTATAGAAATGCAACAGATTTCTGTATATTGATTTTATATCCTGTGACTTTGCTGAATTCATGTATCAGTTCTAGCAGTTTTTTTGGTGGAGTCTTTCAGGTTTTCCAAAGAGTATCATGTCGTCTGTGAAGAATGAAAGTCTGACTTCTTTCCTGCTTATTTAGGTGATTTTTATTTCTTTTTGTTGTCTGACTGCTGATGCTAGGACTTCTAGTACTATGTTTAACAACATGTTCCTGACCTTAGGAGTAAAGCTCTTAGTTTTTCCCCACTGAGGATGATTTTAGCTGTGGGTCTTTTGTATATGGCCTTTATGATGTTGAGGTATGTTCTTTCTATCCCCACGAGGGTTTTCATCATGAAAGGATGCTGTATTTTGTCAAATGTCTTTTCTGCATCTACTGAGATAACCATGTGGTTCTTTTCTTTTATTAATGTGATGTATCAGGTTGATTGATTTGTGGATATTGTACCACTTCCTGCAGCCCAGGAATAAATCCTTACTTTCTCACGGGAGCACTGCCAGCCAGTGGGCTCTGAAACTTCAGACTTGGTGCTCCACTGCTTATGCAATCTTGGTGGCACTGAAACCCTCTCCTTTCTCCCTGCCAATGGTTTTCGGTAACACATTTCTTGTCCTGTTCCCTGACAGTGTCTTCTCTATCTCTCCAGCTACTTTTGGGGAAAGAGGTGTGCTTTTCTTGTGTGATCCCGGTGTGCTGCACTCTTCCCCTCTCTCCACAAAAATGACTCCCTACCCTCTGCAGCTTTTTTCTTCCCCAATTCACCACTCCGCACCACGTACCTGCCAACTTCTGTAGCTCAAACTATGCAGACTGTTATGTTAATCCTCAGATCAATTTCCTAGGTGTTCAAGATGGCTTGATGCTGATCTAGCTGTGTTTCAGGGACAATACAAGCTCAGGGTCCCCATACTACTTCACCATCTTAATTTTATCCCCCCAAACTTAATTTCACGTTGTTTCCTGAAATCTGAAAGTCTTTTTTCTAATATATTAACAAAAACTTCTAATTCAAAAGATTACCTTCCAACTTTCAACTTTTAGTAATTTCTAAGACTACAGAAACAGAATCACAAATTCTATTAGCCCATAGCTATCACAAATCTAATTTTAAGATAAAAATACATCTCTATCACTGCATTCATGTTAAAGTATATCACATTTACCCTAAAATTTATAGGACACACCTACAGGAAAATCCTTTTACTCCCTTTAAAATTTAAGAGATGACCAAAATACTCAAGAACTTAATGTGAACACTTCATGTTAATACTTTTTTCTAAAACAGAAAAAAAAAACTTAATGTGAACATTTTATTTTAATACAATTTAAAATTAAATATTCATGTTTCTTATCTAGAATCCTCTTGGAAGATGCTTTTTTAAATCTACTTCACTATATGGAATCCCCATTCCACTAAGCAGGCAGCATTTATTCTCTACAAATATTCTAGCTAGCTCTTTACTGCCTGATACAACCACCATTTTAATAGCAGTAAGTTAGCAGAAAATAAAAGGACTTGAACTTACCCAAATGAATAGACAGGGCTAGGTTTCCTCATCATTACCCAGTAACTTATCAAACATGTTATTAAACTAAGTAAAAAGGAAAATAAAATTTTGCTTTAGAACTAGAGCAAGAGGAGAACACACAGAAAGAAATTAAGTTTCCAGAATTCCTAACTTTGCTGAAAGTTATCAGTGTTTGCAGACTAAATATTCAAATAATTTATAATCTAATCACATGGGCATCCTCATACCTGAGCTTTAACATGTGGAGAAACTGAAAAAAGTTAGAATACGTCAGGTCAATAAGTAGAACCTAAATCCATACTTTCTCCACTAAGTAAGTTATCCATGCTAAATGGCTTCCATAACTGAGCATGCACAAATGACACAGTAATAATAAAGATAATACATTTTATTTTAGCCACAGACAATAAGTTTTAACTCTGATAAACTTTAATCTTTGTCAAAAGTTAAACTAAATATTAATAACATATTAACAACATTCTGAATGTTCTGGATGTTCACTTTCCAAGTAGAGTGGAGATTACTCCAGTGTGAAATTCAGGTGGTAACTATCTGTTTTAGGGCAGTCAAGTAGATTTAGTTAGATGACTGATGAAAAAGACATTGTTATACTCCTATGGCATCGATCTTGACGATTTCAAGTATTTTGCAACCCTTACACAGCAATATGAAGGTCCTATGAAGCAGGGAGCCAAAAAGGTGTCTCCCTCGCTCACGATTACTCACGTTAGTTATTAATGCCCATCTACATGGTGACAAAAGAAACTGGTATGTTCTTACTTGACTCTGCTCCCTGGCCACAGCTGACTCAACTATAGGTAGGCACCTCAAGCACCTGATCTAATGCCTGGGCATTATCTTTTTTTTTTTCTCTATAAATGGGATTATTTCTTCCAATATATCTCCTAATTGTTCTTGTTTGTACACATATTGTTGACAACTTTACTTATTACACACATTACTTTAAGCAGAGAAAGCTTCATAAGTTCAGTGCAAAAATTCCTTATTAGTTTCAGAACAGTGAAGAGATCTTCTAAAACTTACCTAAAAAGATCAAAAATGGTCAAGTAAGTATAGGCAGTTAAAGCTGCAAAACAACAAAACAACTGATTAAAATGTTGCTGTTAGGAAATATAGCTAATCACCAAGATTTGTTCACACGAGGGATATCCATTACCAAAAAAAAAACTTAGTCACTAATTAACCTCATATGTTAGCAATTATCTAGACTAATATATGTAGCCAAAGTTGATAAGTACAGAAGTGCCTGAATCGCTAGAGGATGTGACTCTTGATCTCAGGGTCATGAGTTCAAGCCTCATGCTGGGCATGGAGCCTATTACTAAATTAAAAAATAAAAATAAATTAAAAAAATTAAAACCAACAAAAAACAAAGAAGGTAAATACAATACCTTAGTTTTAGAACCTGATTTCTCCATCAGGAAAAATGAAGCAGTATATACCCGAAAGTGCTGTGATCATTTTTTTTTTTGCCTCTTCTGTCATCTAAATACTATTTTAAATACATTCTTTAAATAAACACTGCATCAACTAAAGGGCTAGTCTATCACCTTAAATAGGAATCTCAGTTTCTCAAATAGACTTAAAACTTAAAGGGGCACCTGGGTGGCTTAGTCAGTTACGTGTCTGACTTTGGCTCAAGTCATGATCTCAGGGTTAATGAGTTCAAGCCCCACTGCCGGCTCTGTGCTGACAACTCGGAGCCTGGAGCCTGCTTCACATTCTGTGTCTTCCTTTCTCTCTGCTCCTCCCCCACTCACATTCTGTCTCTCTCAAAAATAAATAAACATAAAAAAAATTTTTTTTAAAGATTTAAAACTTAAAAAAAAGAAAACCCTAATTTAAAATGATAATGCCTAGGGGCACCTGGGTAGCCGAGTCAGTTAAGCATACGATTCGGCATAGGTCATGATCTCACCATTCCTAAGTTTGAGCTCCATGTTGGGCTCTGTGCTGACAGCTTAGAGCCTGGAGCCTGTTTCAGATTCTGTATCTCCCTCTCTCTCTCTGCCCCTGCCCCACTCGCACTCTGTCTCTCTCTCAAAAATAAACATTAAAAAAATGATAATGCCTAATAATTAAACCATACTGTACAGTTTACAAGACACTTTTCAAATAGATACTCACATTTAAATCTTAGAGTTATATTTCAGAATAATATACTCCACGTAAAGAAAGATATACTTTTTTTAAAAATCAGAATAAATGTGAAACTAATAATTAATTCCACAAAAATAAGAATGGTGACATACCTATACTGTTAGTAGAACTGCACCACATAAGCAGGAAGCCAGTACATGTTAAGTTTATTACACCAAAGAGCAGTATCTTCCAAGACTGTGAAAAAGAAAATCACTTTTATTTGCATAGTGCTGATAAACTTCACTGAGTCTGTTCAAGTTGCTGCAATTCATACTCTACAAAGGAATAAGCACAACTTCCTTCAAAAAGTCAGTGTTACATTTTCTGTATCTACCAAAACTATCATCAACCAACTTATTATTATAATATATATAAATCTAAAAACATAGAAGGGGAATTCTTCAAGAGAAAAAAATTCTGCCACAGAAACTCTCAAACAGTTGAAAAAATAGGCATTTACTTTAACATCATTTTGTCTCTACAAATATGTACATTGAGACAATGATAGCAAATGGGGCAAAATATAAAGCAAATGGTGAACCTGAGTAAAGGGCTTAAGGGAGTTCCTCACACTAATCTTGTGACTGTTCTGTAAGCTTGAAATTATATCAAAATAAAGCCACCTCTCCCCTTCCCTGAGAAAGGGCAGCACTTACTTATTCACCAATAAGTCCTACGAAATAGGACTGCAGAAGAGGGAAAGACTTCCGTGGTTTAGAACCTCATAGACCTGCGATACACCCTGAAAGTAGCTTGGATTTCATCAGAGGAAGGGGAAAGGGCATTCTAAAAATACGAGATCAAGTGAAAGTGTTTTTTAAATTTTTGTTCCACTCTACTCTCTACAAAGGGAGACCTATAATTGTGTGAATGAAGAAGTGAAAGAAATTAGCGAAAAGAGAATTCTATGTAGGTATAAGATTAAACAGATATAACTGCAAAGGTTAAGTATGAGATAGGATGGCTTTAGAAAACAGCAGGAAAATGTAGGTTTAGAATGAAGAACAACTCCTTTCAGAAAATTGAGGATAGGTGACTGAAGGGACAAAGAAACTGTGAGGCAGAAAGAAGTGACAGTGAAGCAGCACAAAGCTACTAAGAGCCTATAAATCTCTGGAAAAGAAGAAAGAAGGCCATTTTCTAAAATTAAGGGATATGGTAAAGTAGCACTTAAATCCAGAGGAGAATTTGCAGAACAGCTATTACAGTGAGAGTTCATTCACAGAGACAGCTGCATAGATAGTGTTGGTAGATGCCAGGATGTGGAAGTGTTTTCTGAGTGCTTCTTTTCCTTTAGTTTAACAGAAAGCAAGACCAAGTGAGGATGAATATGGTTTTGGAAGTCTGAGGATAGAAGTGAAAGAAAATGGGTTGAAACAACCATCTAGAAAATGAAAAACTGAGTGAAAATTAAAAAATATAGTATGGGCAGCACTAATGGCATACTTATCATGAAATTAAAATGAGACCAGTCACCAGGGTGCCTGGGTGGCTCAGTAGGTTAAGCATCCAACTTCAGCTCAGGTCATGATCTCGTGGTTCGTGAATTCAAGTCCCGTGTCTGGCTCTGTGCTGACAGCTCAGAGCCTGGAGTCAGCTTCCAATTCTATGTTTCCCTCTCTCTCTCTGCCCCTCCCCACCTCAAGCTCTGTCTCTCTCTGCCTCTCAAAAATAAACATTAAAAAAAAAAAAAAAAAACTAAAATGAGACCAGTCACCATGTTTCTCTCAGGCTACATTCAACTGGATACAGCTACAGAGTAGGAAGAAAATAGACTTGCTGATGTTAAGATTTTGCAGGAAGTATCAGAGGATGAGAGACAGATCGAAGGAGGGCACATAGGAGTTTAAGACATATGCATGAAATCAGTAATGACAGACCAAAGAATCTAAACTGGATTAAGTAAGCAAATGAAGATAAGAGAGCTAAAAAATAGTGAAAGTATGGCACAGTCAAAGGATTAGAGATCCTAGTAAGATTTAAGAATTATCGGAATTGGGGTAATACAAGAAGTGAACTGGAAGGACAAGAGATGGAAATTATCAGTGAAATGCTTGAAAATGAGACAATAGTTTTAACTATTATAATTGATAATGTCTGTGGTATGATCATAGGAGTGGATAGTTGGAAGGGATGTACGACAAGATTATTTATTGTAAGGAAGTAAGGAACTGAGAGGTAAGGATCTTCCTTATAAGAAATTACCAAGAACTAAGATAGGAGAAGTAGTAAAAAGAGATGAGCTAGGGTATGTACTGTAAGGTTTAAATTATGATAGCGATTATCTGCACAATGCAGGTATTCCTAGATCAGTTTTTTTCCTACTACCAATTCTGTGGTGTACTGTGCTTCAATAAAGTATATGGTTCAAGAATTTCCTACTTACTTCTTTAACATACTTTTCACCAACAAGGTCATGCTAAATGGGCTGGATACACAAATAGACAAACTTCCTACCTTTGGCTCTTTAAGTTTAACAACGATGGCCATACACTATTTTCAAGTATTAGAATTATTGAGTTCTGACTATATTCCAAGGTTTTAGCAAACAGAAGATATAGTGATAAGAAACAAAGAACAGAAGCCTCTAATCAAGTATCACCATACATGGCCAAAATCACTGGTTTACTTATTATGCTGCAATGAAGCTAGGTTTATTTAAAATTCTTCACATACTTACTGAGTGCTTATTTTTTACTTTTATTAAAAAGTGGACATAAGACACAGTTACTGTCTTCAGAGAGCTTATACTTTAATTTACACAATAATCAGAATAATGAAAACAGAAAACTAGAAGGTCTACATTGTAACCAAAAAGGGTAGTAATTATTATTATTTTTAATGTAAGCTCTACCTGGGGCTTGAATTCACAACCCTCAGATCAAACCGATTATCTTTTACTTACAGTCTCAAAGCATAAGGTATTTTTCCTTCCGTACACTAAAAATGAGAAAACATGGCTTTAAACTACATCCACTAGAGTTGTAAAAATAAAATGAAAATAGCTGTGATGCTGAAAAAAGAAATAAAAGGCAATTACAAAATAATTTTTCTTTAACACTCATTAGAATTAGAATAAAAACTTAACTGAAGCCTAGTTTCCTCCCAAGCAAACATCTGTGTATCAAAGTACTATACTTTTACATTAAAAATTTGCTTGTTCAGGGGCACCTGGCTTGCTCAGTTGATAGAGCATGCAACTCTTGATCTTGGGGTTGTGAGTTCAAGCCCCACGTGGGGCACAGAGATAACTTAAAAATTTTTTTTTTGCTCATCCAACATAAAAAAATGAAAACAGTGTGATGTGGGTGCCAGTCTGGCTCAGTCAGTAGAGCATGTGACTCTTGATCTCAGGGTTGTTGAGTTCAAACCCTACATTGAGTCTAGAGTTTACTTAAAAACAAAAACAGTACGGTGGGATCAAGAGTAATTTCTATGTACCTTAAAAATTACTTTTTTCAATGTCTTTATGTTGTGTGTGCAATGATTAAAAATAGAGTTAACAAATAACTTACCCTTTGGTCAGCTGCTACAAGTCTAAATTCCTGAAATAATTTGCCAAAAAAAGATCTCTGTGGTTTTCTAAAGAGATGAATTGTCCCCTTTAAAATAAAAAAATAATAAAATCAGCATTTAAGCATATCTTTTTCATATCCTGTGATGCAATATAATAGTAACAACATTTACTGAACACTTAGTATGTGGCAAGCAATTATTCTAAACACTTTACACTTTACAAATATTTTTCTATTTAATTCTCACAATAATCTATGAGATGGAAACAATTTTTAGTACTTGTCCAAGGGCACACTGCTAACAATTGGTTGAGCAGAAATTCAAATTCAGGCATTTTAGCTCCAGACTACACTCCTATATTTTTAAACAGATTAGGTAATTTTGAACCAGAAAAGCAAACCATCTGCCAAACAGCTAAGCTGGAAATAAAATATTACATTTACCTAATCAAGAGGTTCTCTCTTAGGCAAAGTATCTAGCATCCTGGCTAGCCTCTGTAGTGCTTGTTAGTTCACAGTATGCGTCCAGTAGAGAAAAGGCATGACGGTGGGGTTACCAAGAGAAGAAATATACGTGGAGACTAGAATTTGTCACTCAAGTACAGGAAACCTTAGCATTAACATAAAGGAGAGTTTAAGCGCATATGAGAAATTATTTTATGATTAAAGCAGTATCCAACATCAGCAGGAGAAAATTTAAGCTATTCAATAAACACTCTTTTGGAGAAATTAAGCTGGATCCTTACTATATTTCTTACTGATTTTTTATTCTGTTAAAATTAAAATACAAAACTAGAGTACTTGAAAAAATTTATGGATATATAACTTCATCATTATCTTGGGAATATAATACCCTACAAAAAACAAAAACAAAGACAACCCCGGGGAGGAAAGACTAACTGTGGAAAAAAAGGACTTTTAATTATTATCCCAAAAGCAAAGTACTGTTTCTAGGCATAAAAAAGTCTTTCACAATTTTCGGTGGGTCATATACAATAATTTGACTGTTAAGTGCCATGTACTTAAATATTTATTTGGTTTTTAGTTTTTAGTAAAATGCTTTCTTAGATGGTAAGGCCATGATCTCCTAATACCTACATTACATTTCTACCTCATCACTGGCTGATTTTACTTAAACACTTAAATTCCACAGAAAGCAGTGGAAATGAATGTTAACAGATTTAAACTGAGGAAAACTTACAGATTCAACTCCAGCACAGGTATGATTTTCCATCTGGGAACATCTCAGTAGTTATAAAAAAAAAAAAAAAAAAAGATATATCCCTTTCTTCAAAACTCAGACATGTCATTAGTTACATTAGGTTGAGACTCAGAAAAATAAGGTTGAGCAGTAGAAATCTGGCATAAAAATACAGAATGTTGGTAACTGTTGAGGCCAAGTGGTGGCTATATGGGGGCCCATTATATTCTACTTTCTTGTGTTTGAAAATTTCCATAATAAAAAAGTTTTAAGTAAAACATACTTTAAAATATAAAGCATTAGAACAAAGTACTATCCAAATAGAGACCAGCATGTGTGTAACTCTTAAGGCTTTGCTAAGCTAATTCAGTTGAAAAGGAACAATATCTATTTTCATTTGAAATGCTAATGAATGTTAATGATAATGAATATACCCTATTCTTAAAGAGTTATATGTCAGTTAATTGGTCCCAAAGATAAATTAATACTGCTTAATACTGTTATCTTCTAACTTCATCCCACCTTAAATTCTTTAAGTTACTTTAACTTAAGTTTCAGGTTGAGACAATTAGGTTTATAAAAGGCAGAAGGCCATTTCCGATGCCATTCTGATATTGGTTAAAAGAGGTAAAAACCCACAAAAATCCTAAATTCACGTCACTTTGTCCAAAATTATATTGGCTCTCCACTGCTATCAAGATAAACTCTTAATATTACACCCTGAAATTCAATGCTTTCAATGACCTAGCCTCAGTTTCTTTCCAGTTTTACCTCTTGCTTCAGGTAGAAATCAACTCCAACTAAACTGGTGTACCCTTGTTTCATGATCGTTAACACTCTAGAGCCAGACTTGTCTAACCCAAGCTCCAACAGCCCTGTTATACTTAGCAAGTTACTTGACCTCTGTTTCCTCATCCAAAAGAGTAATGAAAAGTAGATTAAGAGTGATGGAGTAAGGCACAAAGTACCGTTTCATGGATGATCTTCCTAGATTATTCCAAATCATACTGTTTTTTATGCCACTTGCTTTGGAATGAACCAGAGGATAGCCTTCATCTTGTCATCTTGCACTGAAGGTAATTTTTTACTAACTTCACTAATGACAATGGCTATTATTTCCTTTACATTTCCTAAGATACCATTGTGCCTTGCATATGACACCTTAACAAAACATGAATAACTCATAAAACCCTTCTTCCCCAAAACTTTTAAAATAAACCTTAAATGCTATTTTTCTGTATTACTAATGATGCAAGCACAAAAATTTAGTGCCATAGGTATTTAGTTGGTGTTTTATAAAATAGGTTTTTATTGAAAAACCTCTTCTGGGCCAGGCACTGTTACAAGGCTCTGAGAATACCAAAGGTTCTGCTCTCAAAGAGCTTACAGTCTCAGAAGTGAGAATGACACGCAAATACACAATTTTAACAGTTTGATAAGGGCTACAGATGTTATTGGTAATTAGCACCATGTTATCACGGGAGCACAAAGGAGGCATCGAACAGAATGTGGAGATGGGGCAGAAAGGCTCATGAAAGAGACTAAAGGACACATAAGGATTACACTGATGAGGAAGAGGAGTGAGAGATGAATGATTTCCACAGTAGAACAGAATGTACAAGTCAGGTGCTGTAAGGACAGCATGATCTGCAAGCTGGTGACTGCGACTGGAAAATGAATATATGTATGTGCAAAACGAGGATACATAGAAGCTTGACAACAGGTTGGTATGCTGTGCCAAACCGGACTTTATCTTGAGGATTATGGGGGGGTGGGGAAAAGGAAGGATTTTAAACAACTGAGCAAGGGAGTGGCATGGGCAAATTTTATAAACTTAATTCTGGCTACACAGTGGTGAGTATTTTGAAGAAAGCAGCTCGAAGGCTATTTGGTTAGCCCCCCAAAAGTAAACTTTTACCCACTTCCTGTGTAAAAAAGAGGGATTACAGAAAATTTACGGAAGAAAAATTAAGTATAAATACAACATTTTATCGACCATACTGACTCAAGGAAAAAAACTAAGAGTAACAATGGCTTAAGCACTGAAACGTGGTCCTTTCCTCCTACGGAGGCTATCAAATAAGAGATCCATGAATTTTTTAGATAAAATGGTGTATACCTCTTTTGACGCTGAAGTGACAATCAACTTATCTTTTGATGAAATTCAGAGAGTTATACAGGTGATTTCTAAAGGTCTAACGAGACTAATTTCTCTTAAAAAACAAACACACAAAAACCTTTAGACCAAACATCACATCCCCGAAACCGTGAGGTATACTGTAATCTACCAACGCAGGGGAAAAGTGCACCAAAGACATTCTACCAGCACCTGGGCTTTCTCCGGTCATTGGGCCTTCTGAAAGCTGTTGCTCTATCAGGCTATCCGACACTCCATAAAGCCAAGTTGCCCCTTGGCCTCAATATCCTACTCATAACCTTCTTCATTAATATGCCAACAGGGTCGTCACTGGTGTAAGCATCACTAACTACGGTCGCTGTTGCTGTGGACTCGTTTTCACATCTTTTGCTGGTGTAGTCGTTGACGCCAGCAGAGACTTTTGTTAAGTAAATCTCGGCAGGGGAGAGTCAAACTTGCTAAGGACTGAAAGTTCGGCCTCGAGCAGGGCCGGGATACCAAGCGTCCAAGGAACGGGGTGAGGGAGCGAATAGGGATCGGAGCTCTGGGAGGAATGCTTTGGACGTCAGCCGCTTCTCCCCCGGCGCCGGAGCACAACCTCGAGGACCCCTTCTCTGGGCAGCTGAGGCAATGTCAAGGACGCTTCAGGATGAGAAAGATAAGAGGAATCACCTACGACAGAAGCCCTCACACCCCCCAGCCAACTCACCATGATAAGGAGCAGCACAGCTCCCGCCGGAAGACACCCTGGGAGCCAGCTTTTCCCTAGAGCGGAAGGGGTGGGGTATCAGAGGCCGATTGGCGGAGAGAGACGCGGGGGCGGAAGTGCGTGAAGGACCTCTTGTTCCCGCCCCTCCCCGGTTGCCCCTGAGTTCGAGAGACGTGAAGGTAGACGCTAGAGCGACGCTACTGAGGCTTACGTGGAGTAGAGAGCTAGTCAAGGCGCAATTGGCATTTATTTGTAATGCTCGGAAATTTTCATTTAGTGCTGAAGCACTTTTACCCATGTTGTGTGATTTAATTTTTTGCAGTACCTTGTGAAACAAGTAATATTCCCATTTGAGGAAGCCGGAAGAATAAGAAACTTGCCCAGAGGCAGACATCTGGGTCTCCGTAGTACTTGAATTTGAACTCAGACCAGTTACAGAATACCGTGTTCAATTTCCTAAAACACTATTCGCATACAATTAATTTTATTACGGAAGTAATATTATAGAATACAGGAAATAAAATAATTTGATAACGATTGAATATCCAGCACATGTGTATCAGGCAATGGTCTCATGAAAATTATATACTAGTAGACAAAACAAGTAGGGAGAAAACAATGTTTAATATATTGATAGTGTCTGTAAAAATAGAGTTATGGGTGAAGGGGGTGGAACCTGAGTAGTTCAATTGGGTATCTAACTCTTGATCTCAGCTCAGGTCTTGATCTCTCAGTCATTGGTTCAGCCAGGGTTGGGCTCCACACTGGGTGTGGAACCTGCTTGAAACAGATAAAAGAGTCTTGCTACTGAAAGTGATTGGGTAGCTAATTTATAGTAGTGGGAGAAAGGAAATAAAATTTGACTTCTGAATGACAAGTCTTTCCACAAAGATTATTCCAGGCAAGATAAAGAAGCCAGTACTTAAGTCAAAACTGAGCAGGAGTGTTTCAAGGTCTGAAAGAAGACAGTATGTCTGGAGCTTTGTGCTTGAGGGGAAGAAATGAAGAAATCTAAATGGTAAATGGGTCAGATCAAGGAGTTTCTAATTTAGGGGTAAAGAGACTGTTTTTTTGGGTTTTTTTTCCAAAGTGAGACAGGAAGCTGGTGGAAGGAAGGAAGTGACCTTTACGCTGTGATATGGAGAATGGGCTGGAGGTGAAAGGTAATAGCGAGCATTTACTAAGCACTTATGTGGTAGGCACGGTTCTAAGCATTTAATGTGTATTAGCTCCTTTAATCCTCATAATATCCATTTGATATAGATACTATTATTAGCCCCTGCTTCGAAAATTGTGTGCTGAGGTCACACACTTACTTAACGACAGAGCTTGAATTCTGTACAACACAACGTAGTTCTAAGCCTTACTCTGTGCTAATTACTCCTGGACAAGATTAGAAACAGGAAGATAGGACATTATTGCTTCATTTACCCAGAGCATATATTCTTTATTTTTGAAGTTTCTTTACAGTCTTTTTAAAAACAAAATTGGAATCAAACAGTACATACTGTACTGTTTTGTGTAAGGACGAGTCTGACTTTTTTCTTG